CGCGACCCCTGCCTCCGGGCCGCTCGGACGTATTCCGAGGTCGTGGCCGGGGGCGTTGAGACGTAGTAGCCGGGCGTCACCGCGACGGCGTCCCTTCCGAAGCAGAGGCGCCGGGCAGGGGGTATCTCTGGCGTGGGACATAAGCCCCCCACGTCCGACGTGCTGGTTGCCATGGCGGTTAGGGTCCGAAGGGGGCGCCATCTCCGTGACCCGACCCGTCCATGGGGCTCCCCCGGTGGCGCCACCCGCAGCGGTGTCCGCGAGGTCGGAGGCGTGGGACCCCCGAAAGCCGTGGGTAAGCGGGCGATGCCCGTCCACGGTGAGGAGGGGGCTGGAGGCCTGCGCACTTGATGACTATTCCAGGTGCCTAAGTCATATGTCAACTCCCCGGGGGAACTCGGGGCCCCGCCCGGGTCATGTTTTCGGGTGGGTGAGGGTACACCCTGGCTGACGGAGCTGCTGCGGGTCGTGGGAAAAAACAAAATGGATACATCTCTTAAACACACAAACGCGGACGGAAACTGCCCTTCTCAGGGCGAAGGCGGGAAGGGTTGCCCAACTATGGGCAATGGGGACAGAGAGGGTGCAGGACCCTCTCGGAGGCAGCAACCTGGCCCTGCATGCAGCAAGGTCGGGACGCAGCAGGAGCCGGCCACTTCCGAAAGCAGCCTGTCGAGGACCGCATCAACGGTCTCGATGGCGTCTCTCGGAGGTGACATCAAAAAGAGACCGGCGATAAAAATCTCCTCGGGCAGCGAGGAGAAAAATAAAAGGCCGAGGGGCCGACCCGCCCTGAACCCCGATCATGTCGGGAAGTTCACAGCGGAGGCCCGGGCTAGGAGGGCCGACAAAGCCAAGGCTCGATAATTGCGGAGGGATCACCGCCTCATTATAGACCCAGAGTTGGTGCCCTCCTCCATGTTCGCGAAGAGGGCTGCGGATAGGACCGCGGAGCTCGCCCTCGAGTATGACGAGCAACCGCTCGAGGCAGTGGCGGCTGTGGCGACTAGAGAACTCGCCACAATCGCCAAGGCGGTGGAGAAGTCCCGTAACGTCAAGGGGGACATAGTGAGGGACCTGTGATCGGCATACTCAAAGTTGACCGCAGCCCTCAACTCTATCGTCGCGAAGGCGAGTAACGCAACGGAAGAAGGCCCTACGGCCGACGGCTAATCGCTCCAGTGAGAGGGTCTGGGCGGAGGAGAGGCGAAGACTTCGCCACGAGGTCGCCCTCCTCCGCTCAGAGAACAAGCGATTGGACGAAGAGATAGAGCGGAGAAAAAGAACCCCCGCCCCACAGCGACGCCGGAGCTGACGCCGGCAACAACGAGGGACTCGACCAGGTCGGGCCACGATCCCTCAGCCGGCGCCCGCAACCCAATTGGCACACTGGAGGGGCCCATCATTGTGGGGGCCGCCTCGGGGTAGGACGAGGAGCCGAGGACTCCGGTCATCACGGAGGAGGACCTGAGGATGCCATTCTTCAGGCCTCCTCTTCAGGGGGTTCAAAAACAAATGAACCCCCTGGCAATAGAGAAGGACCGGGCATCGGCCACCGCCCGAAATCTCCCAAATATAAAAAAGAAGGGGAAAGGGACGACCGGCGGTGGGAGCGGGGAAGACGGGGATAGGAGAATTGAGAAGATCCTCTCTCGACTCCTTACCCGCTTCCTCGTCGAGATGGGGATGGCCCCTAAAAGACCCCCACATAGAGAGCACAGCAGGGGCGGAGAGCGGCCCCCCGCCAATCAACCAAAGGCGGGTGTCGCTCCCAAAACCGCACCAAGGCGAAGGGGGGCACTAACACCCAGCCCTCCGCCGCCACAAGGAAGGAGCAGCCGCTCCCTGCGACCGGGGCGACCGGGGCGCCCGCACCGAGGGCGCAACCCGCGGTGCGGGCAATGACAACAACGAGATGACCTAGGCGCAGGTCGTCTCGAGGGGCGCCAAAAGGGCGGCTGCCAAAGCGTGCAAGGCCGCGGGAAGAATGGAGCCGCCCCTACGAAACCTGGGAGCAACACTAAGAAAGGGACCAAGCAAGAGAAGGGGGTGCCACCGGAGGATTAAAGACCTCCGATAAAAGGCCCCCCTTCCCAGGCTCAGAACGGCCACCTCGGCGGCGGTCACTTACGCCGACCAGGCATCATATGCCGAGGTGGTGGGAAAGGCGAGGTCCTCGATCTCCTTCAAAGACCTGGGGATCGAGGACTTTCGGCCAAGGAGGGCCATCACGGGGGCCCTCATCTGGGAGGTCAGAGGCCCGGATAATAGAGCCAAGGCTGACCAATTGGCCGACAGGCTATCGACTACTCTCGCGGACCGGGACGACGTCAAAGTGTCCCGGCCGTTGAGGAGCGCCGAGATTAGGGTCTCTGGCCTCGACGACTCGGCCACCACCAAAGAGGTGGCCGAGGAACTGGCGAGGGCGAGTGGCTGTTTCCCACAACAGTTTAAGGTGGGAGACATCAAGAGGGCCTCCAACGGCCTAGGGTCGGCGTGGGTGCGGTGCCCCATGGAAGCGGCCAGGAAGCTGGTGGCCACCCCCCGTATCAAAGTGGTCGACCTGTCGGGTGGTGCTGCTGCCGGCCAGAGGCCTCCAATGTTATAGATACTTGGAGGCCGGCCACGTGCAGCAGAAGTGCACGAGCACCACTGACAGGTCAGGGTGCTGTTATAGATGCGGGGGCATCGGCCACGCGGCAAACCAATGCCGCGAGAAGGCCGATTGCCTCGCGTGCCGGGCCCTGGGCAGGCCATCGGGGCAGCGCATCGGGGGTGGCGGCTACACCGCCGCCAAGGCAAGGACGAAGAAGGGGGGCCTCAAGGCCAGCGGCCCCCCTTCCGCCGCAAAACCGGCGGCAAACAAAACGCCGCCGGCTGTTGCCGACATTGAGATGGCGGAGGCGCCGGTGCTAGCTCCGGCTAGCGTGGGCGAGGAACAGCGGGGCAAACAGTAATGTCCTGCGTCCTCGCCCAAACGAATCTAAACCACTCGGCTGCGGCACAAAGCATGCTCATGCAGTGCCTCGCCGATTGGGGGGAGAGGGCTGGCCATCGCAGCTGACTCTTACAACATCCCGTAGAGCCACCCCAATTGGGCTGGGGACTCTCTGAGAAGGGTGGCGATGGCCTGGCAGCACGCGCGCGACATCCCGCTGATGATCCCAATATCGGCGGGGGAGGGATTCCTTCTTGTAGAGTGGGGGCCCATCGACGTCGCAGGGTGCTACTTCCCTCCTCGCCTTAGCAGGAGGGAATACGAAGACGCCTTGGAGCCCCTGAGGGAGCACATCCGCAGACGTTCCCCCAGGCCGACAATAGTGGGAGGGTACTTCAACGCACACTCGGTAGAGTGGGGGTCCCCGACCACTGACTCCAGAGGCAACAGCACCCTGCAGTGGACGGCGGGACTCGGCCTCATCTTGCTAAACCGGGGCCAAGTCAGCACCTTCGTAGGCCGCGGGGGGAGTCCATCATAGATCTCACGTGGGTGACCCCCGCGGCGGCTCAACGAATCAAAGGATGGCACGTGGACGCCGGCTCCTTTAGTGAGAAATCAGATCACCGTGTTATCAGGATGGAGCTGGTGTCCACGCCAGCGGAGGTGCAGACCAGACGCCGCCGCCAAAGTGATGAGCGTCGATGGGCCATTAAGAAGTTGGATCCTGGCGCCCTCGAGGTGAGCCTTCTCTCCTCCACCTGGCCCGAGCGTCAGCCAAGTGCCACGGTGGAGGAGGATGTGGAGTGGCTCGGGGACGCCATGTCGCGCGCGTGCGACGCGTCGATGCCTCGCTGCCGCCCAATGAGCAGAAGGGCGGCCTACTGGTGGTAGGAGGAGTAGCCGAACTCCGCAGGGCCACCGTGGCCGCCCGGCGCACTTACACCCGCACCAGGCGGCGAGGCATCGACGCAGAGATGGAGAGGGTCGCCGAGGGACTCCGAAGTGCGCGGAGTGCCCTCAGGACGGCCATCAGGCGGGCGAAGGCCGGCGCCTGGAGAGAACTGATATCCTCCCTGGACAGGGATCCGTGGGGGAGGCCCTACAAAATCGTGACGAAAAAGCTAAGACTGTGGGCCCCCCAATAGCGGAGACCCTGGACGTCCTGTTCCTCGACAAAGTGGTGGCCACCCTCTTCCCTACCAGGGGCCGGGAAATCCTGGAGAGGGTGGGTCCGCCGGAAGGTTGGACCGAGGAACTGGGCGTCTCCGGGGAGGAGATGGCACAGGCCTTCGCCCGCCTGAAGAGCAGGCCTCGAGCCCCGAGGCCGGACGGCGTGCCCGGCAGAGTCTGGGCAGCCGCGGTCCCGGTAATCGGGGAAAGGTTGAAGCAGCTCTTCACGAGCTGCCTCAAGAAAGGAATCTTCCCCAGGTCGTGGAAGAGGGTCAGGCTTGTCCTACGCAAGGAGGGCAAGCCGGCGGAGAACCCCTCCGCATACAGGCCCATTTGCCTGCTGGACGATGTGGGAAAATTACTTGAGCGAATCATCGCCGCCCGCATCGTCTGTCTCGGGGAGATCCCAATTTATCCTGTTGCCAGTATGGCTTCCGGGAGGGCCGATCGACAGTAGCAGGTCCGTGCTCTCTCGGAGCGGCTGACCGCGCGAAGGGAGGTGGCGTTGGCGGTGTCGCTCGACATCGCCAACGCCTTCAATAGTCTGCCGTGGGGCCGGGTAGTGGGGGCGCTGAGGGATCATTTCCTCCTGCCCCCTATCTGGTCGCCGCGGCCGAGGACTACTTCCGGGACAGACAGCTGGAGTTCGACGATAAGACTCCAGCAACGGAGGGACGTGTCGTGCGGCGTTCCGCAGGGGTCAGTGTTGGGCCCCCTGCTGTGGAACGTTGCATACGACGCCGTTCTCCGTGCAGCCCGCCCCCCAACTGCCACGTAGTCTGTTACGCGGACGTTACGCTCGTGGTAGTGGGGGGCCCGACCTGGAGAAGAGCCGTTGCGACGGCGAATATCGCGATGGCATGGCGCAATAAAGGAACTGGGACTAAGGATGGTCCCCGTCAAGTCGGAAGCAATGTTCTTCCACGACGGAACTGGCGGGGCGCCCCCACAAGCCTCAGTTAAAGCGGACGAAGTCAGTATCCCGGTGGGACCCAATCTCAAATACCTGGGTCTCACCTTGTATGGTCGTTGGAGTTTTGTCGATCACTTCGACAACATAGCCCCACGATTGGGTCGTCGGGCCGATGCCTTACTCGGTCTGATGCCCAACCTTCGTGGTCCGAATGATGGCGTGAGAAGAGCGTACATGTACGCGGTCCTGTCCGGGGCCTACTATGGGGCCTCGGTATGGAGTGAGGAAGCCCTGGCCAGCCGCCATATAAGGCAGAAGTTGCAAAGTGTGCAGAGGCGGCTGGTCTTGCGTATCGCAAGGGCATACAGGACCGTGTCACATGACGTCCTAGCGGTCCTCGCGGGGGTCCTCCCGGCGGAGCGCGTGGCCGACGCCCTGGCGAAGTCAAGGTCATTAGACTCCGGCCCCCCCCGGGGGGCGTAGTCACCCCGAGGGCCGCGAATCTCATCAAAGAGAACACCCGTCGGCGGGTGTTCCAGGAATGGCACGCTAGCTTCAGGAACAACCCGCCGACGAAAGGGATGAAGACCACGGAGGCCATCCTCCCCTGCCTAGAAGAGTGAGTGGGCAGGGGATGGGGCGGACTTTCGTTCTACCTGACGCAGGTGCTCACCGGCCACAGCTGTTTTGGTGAGTACCTGCGTCGAATAGGGAAGGAGCCGACGGCGCAGTGCCATCACTGCGATGAGGCTCAAGACACTGCGCAGCACACGCTGGAGTTTTGTCCAGCGTGGGCAAACGAGCGCAGTGTCCTGAGGGACGAGATAGGGGACGATCTCTCCCTGCCGACAGTAGTGAGGACGATGGTTGGCAGGGAGAGTGCATGGACGGCCGTCTCCTGCGAGCGAGTGATGCTGCAGAAGGAGGAGGCAGAAAGACAGAGGGAGAGGGCCCCGGGGGGTCGGGGCCCTCCTCCACCGCCGCCGCACGACGGTGATGGAGGACAGGGTGGAGGGGGGAATGAGCGGCCGGGGGGTCGTCGGAGACAACACGGGCGTCGGCATCAGCCGGGCCGCTCGTGCCCGGGGCCTCCTCCCGCACGCCTCTTCCGCCACGGCCAACCTTCGGGGCGG